TTCTATTATCCACTAGTTTTTGAGCAGTGTATTATTCAACTTCCATATGTTTGATGATTTTTCCTTGATCTTCCTATTATTAATTTCTAATTTTATAGCATGGTGGTCTGAGAAGATGCTTTGTAGTATTACAATGTTTTTGAATTTATGGAGGCTTGTTGTATGTCCTCATATATGATCTATTCTGGAGAATGATCCATGTGTACTAGAGAAGAATATGAATTATGCTTTCGTTGGGTAGAATCTTCTGTATATGTCTATGAGGTTGAGATCATTGATTGTGTTGTTGAGTTCTTCTGTATCTTTGTAAAGCTGTTTTCTAGTTGATCTGTCCCTCCTTGAAAATGATGTGTTAAAGTCTCCTGCTACTACTGTACAATTGTCTATTTTCCCTTTCAATTCTGTTAATATTTGTTTCACATATTGTGGAGCACTTTCATTGGTGCATAGATATGTATTATCGCAGAATCCTCATGGTCAGTTGACCCTTTCAGCATCATATAGGGTCCTTCTTTGTCCCTTATGCTGTTTTCACCTTGAAGTCTATTTTATCAGAAATTAACATTCCCATTCCTGCTTTTTTTTTTTTTGGTTATCAGTGGCTTGGTGCATTTTTTTCCCACCCCTTAACTTTTAATTTGTCTTTATCTTTGTCTCTTGTAGGCAGCATATCGATGGATCTTCTTTTCTTATCTGGTCTGCCACTCTCTTTCTCTTGACTGGTGCATTTAGTCCATTCACATTGAGTGTAATTAGTGATAGGTATACATTGATTGCTGTCATTCTGTTGTGTTTTTTGTCATGTTGTTGGAGATTTCCTTGGTCCAAATACTTTACTGTATTTCTGAATGAATTCTCTTATGAAGTGTTTCCTCTCTTTTCTTCTTTATTTTTGGTTTTGTGCTTACTAAGCCTATATGTTTTCCTTCTTTCTGGGTTTGCTTAGGTTTTTGTTGTTGTTGTTGTTGTTGTTTTTTGCAAATATTCTCTGTGGTTACCTTGGAGTGAATTCTTGTCTCTATAATTTTGGACAGACATTTCTATAAGGACATGTCCTGTCTTCCTCTCCATTTGGAAGTTTTATACCTGAAACTTTTATTCCCTCTATTTGTTTTGTTGCTGGTGTCATCTACAAATTGACTCCCCTGTTCCTTTGTGTACAGTGTCCTTTGGGGAGCTCTGGTAGCATAGTGCCTAAGGCACTTGACTGCTAAACAGAAGGCTGGTGGTTCAAACCCACCAGCCACTCCTCAGAAAGAAGGGTGAGAAATCTACTTCTTTAGTGATACCACCTCAGAAACCCAAGGAGGGGTTGCTGTGAGTTGGGGCCAACTCAACAGCACATAACAACAACAACAACAATAAAGTGTTTTATGAGCCTATCTTGAGCATCTGTTTCTGATTTGGTTTTAGTGTTGATGTCACATATCCTGATTTTAATTTGTTGTTCTCTGTTGTGGGTTCTGTATTGGAACGACTTCCTTAAGCATTTCTTGTTGGGTTGGTCTGATTATCACAAAATCCCTTAATTTCTGTTGTCTGAGAATGTCTTGATTTCACCCTCATATTTGATGGAACAGCTTGGCTGCATATAGGTTTGTTGGCTGGAAGTTCTTTTCCTTCAGTCTTATATAAGCCGTCCCATTGCCTTCTTGCCTGCATGGTTTCTGCTGAGTAATCAGAACTGATTCTAATTGTTTGTCCATTGTAGGTGACATTTCTTTTTCCCCAGTCTGCTCATAAGATTCTTTCTTTGTCTATAGTTTTGGAGTTTGATTATGTCTTGGTGATTTTCTCTTGTGATCTATCTTGTATGGGGTTCATTGAGCTTCTTGGACAAATATCTTTTTTTGCTCCATGATATGGGGGAAATTTTCTGTTAGCAAATCTTCCACAATTTTCTCAGTGGCTTTTTTTGTTTGTTTATTTGTTTGTTTTGCCTCTCCTTGTTCTGGTATTCCAGTGAGGCGTATGTTGTTTCTTTTCAGGTAATTTCTCTTAAATCTTTGTTCTGATTTTACTTCACACAGGCTGGTTTCAAGGGATTTATCTTCTAGTTAGGGAATACATTCTTCAGTCAGTTCTATCCTATTCATTTGTGCTTCCACTGTTTGTGTAATTCTGTAATATTAGTGTTCATCTTCTGGATTTCTAACTGCTGTTTTTTTTAATGAGTTCTTCTTGTGTATTAATCTTGTTATTTTGTTCTTGAATGGTTTTCCTGAATTCTTCCAGGGTACTGTCTCTGTTGTTCTTGGTTCTGTCTGTGGTTTCCTTGAGCTCTTGTAGAGTTCTATAAACTTATCTTCTGAATTCTTTCTTGGATAATTCTATTGCGTCTTCTTCCTCCATGTTTTTAGTGGGATTTTATTTCTGTTGTCCTCTGTTTTTTTTTTTATTTGCTGTTGCCTGTTGTTTCCTAGACATTTTGAAGTTGTTATCTTTAACTGTTATGTATTGATTTGTTTTCCTTTGATTTTATGTTTCAGTATATTTGTGAAGGTGGAGCTGGCCTATTTTATTTTTTTTGGTTCTGAATTCAGGTGTGCTGGGTTGTTCTGCAGTTTTCTTTGTGTTGATGGAATCACTGTAGGGAATGTGGATGCAAGTCTCTGTTGTGAAGGGGATTTAGAGTTGCAATGAGCAGGCACTGTGGCTTAATGTGGTTCTTTTATTGGGTGAGGCAGGGGAAAAGAGGAAAAAAGAGGAAGAAAAGAAAATGGAAAAAAAACAGGTGCCAGTAGTGAGTCCCTGCTTTCTTCATTTCCATAATTACTGATGGTTCTGGGGTTTTGTTTTGATTCTGCTTGGGATGGCTACCAAAGGTGATGTTTTGTTGTCACTCACAGACCCACAGTTCACAATTGGCGAAGACCCCAATGGTTAGGGGGCCACTACTTTCCCCTTTGTTTGTAAAGCTGCAAAAACCCCATACTCCGGTCTGCTGTGTGCTAAAAAACTGTTGTAGAAGAGCTGAATCCCAGCCTTGCACTGTGAGCTCATCCCATGGCCCACCTACCACAGCAAGTTTCCTCCCTTCCCCACTTCTCAACTCAGCAGCAACCTGAGCCACAGGGGTTTCTGCTCTGTTTCTCAGAAATGTTGTCTATGTACTCAGCTCAGTTCCCAAGGTTATCGTCAGAAGCTGCTATTGTGGGTAGTCAGAGTCCCCAAAGCCACCATTGGTCCTCTGGCATCCCTTTTTTCCTTTTTTTTTTTTTTTTTCCCACCACAGCTTTCTCCAGTATTGTTAAAAGAGTTTTCCCCTTCTCCATCTAGCCTCCTCTCCTGCCAGCTGGACAAGTTTGTTTATTTTTATTTTTCCCAGCTGTATACCCTGCTTTTTTTTTTCTCCTTCTCCACTAAATCCTGCCTTTTCTAACTTAATGAACTGTTGACAGCCCCAGAATCCCTGCTTCAAGCTGATGCACCTAGTTTTTCAGGCATTAAGATGCTAGAAGGAACAAACGTGTGGCCTACAAGTACTACTCCATCTTCCAATCCTCTGGCCTGATGGGATTTAGATTGGTATTATATTGAACTTGTTGTTCAGTTGGGTGATACATGACATATTAACAATATTACATGTTCCTGTAAACATGTTGTTGTTGTTGTTGTTGTTATGTGCCGTCGGGTCAAACCCGACTCATAGCGACCCCTCCTTGGGTTTCCGAGGCAGTATCACTACGGAAGTAGATTGCCCAACCTTCCTTCCGAGGAGTGGCTGGTGGGTTTGAACCGTCAGCCTTCTGGTTAGCAGTCAAGTGCCTTAGGCACTATGCTACCAGAGCTCCTATTGTAAAGATGTTATACATCTCTAATTAAATTTATCCCTAGGTGTTGATGTTTTCAAATGCTACTGTAAATTGTATTGCCTTTTCAAATTTTGCTTTCCAGTTGTACATTGTTCACATGGAAATAGGCTTGGTTTTTGTACCTTATATCTGCAGTCCTGCAAAATTTACTTGTTAGTTCCAGAAATCGATTTGTAAGTTCTTTAGGATTTTCTACATACACAATAATGTCATTTTTCCTCTTCAGTTTGTACATTTTGTTCCTTTTCTGGCCTTGCCTGGGATTTCCAATGCAGTGTTTATTAGAAATGGAGAGAAGCTGTGGGAGGTGCTCCCTATTTCACCATTGGCATAGTACTGGCTGTGTTGTTCTGTACATGCCCTTCAGTGATCAAAAAGGTTCCCTTCTGCGGCTAGTATTCTGCAAGCTTTTTCCATTGAGTGTTGAATTCTGTCAGATGCTTTACCTTTACCTTTAGAGAGCGTTGCTGTGCTTTCCCTCCTCGTTGTGTAAGTGTAGTGAATTTCACTGATTTCCAGTGTTAAGGAAGCCTTGCATTCCTGGGGCAAACCCCACTTGGCTATAATATATTTACCTTTGTTACATTGTTGGAGTTGATTTTCCAGTATTTTTTTTTTTTTCTTTAGGGTTTTCTTGATCTGTAGCTTCCTTTTTTCCTAATGTCCTTGTCAGTTTTGGGCACCAAGACTCTTCTGGTCTCATAAGCCATTGGTGCTCCTTCCCATCTCCTTGCACTGCTCCTCCTTCAAGGGGGTACCTTTTGGTTGTCACACAAGGAGAAGCTTCTCTGTGCTCAACCCTGCCACTCCAGGCTCCCTCAGCCTGCACTGAGACACTCATTCACTCCTGCCTAACTCCTATAGTACAGCCCTTCTCTTAGTGTCACCAAGTATTCAAACAGGAAGTCCATTATGCCAGCCCTCCTTGCACCTCAGGGCTCAAGCCTGGATGGCTCCTATGGCCAGTGGCCAGCTCCCATGCTTCTCAGCAAAGTAGGGCTGCTGCTTTGCCCTGTCTCACCTGCCATTTACAGTGTGAGCTAACAGAAGGTACTTATCCCACAGCAGATCCTGGGGCCCCCACTCCTTAAGCTGTAAGTCCTGTCTGGGATACAGGGGCCATTTGAGCAGCCAGCTGACTACAGACACATGTAACCCTCCTATTCTTGTTTCCCTGACTTGTAGGTGAGCACACCAAAACCAGGAGTGGGGAGGCCCTGCCTAAGCCCAGGGCCAGGCCCTCTGTCCACGACAGTCGTCCCTGGAGCTGCCCCGGCCATGCCCGTGCCCATGCCAGGTACTGCCCTCTCCAGGCTCCCAGCCCTGCCTCGTGTGGGGCCTCTGGGTCCATGCAGAGGCCTGCTTTCATCTCCTGTGTCTTGGGGGCACTGGCCAGCTCAAGTGGGCCAGCCAGAGGGTTGGGGCAGCCAGAATATTGCCCAGATGCCATGCCTGGGCACCCCAGGCTTGCCAGTGCTCCCAGCTTACTTGCAGCCACCCACAGTCAGCTCGCCCAGCCCCAAGCTGCGGATCACATAGCTTTCTGCCTTGCCACTTGCCAGATGGAGAACTCTGAACAGCACAGAGAAATGAGGTTACGATCTGGCTTCGGAGTACCCTGCCCTACCTGCCTGGGCACAGTGCCCACCCCACAGGGCTAATCCAGCACCTCACCGTGGCAGGAAGCACTGGGTATGCCAGCACAGGAGGGAGCAGTGTTTATGCATTATTTGCTTCCTTTCTGCTAGAGACGCTCTTCATTCTTAAGTTCCAGTGGTCTACACTTGCAATCCTCACAACGGTTTCCTATACTTGAATTGATTATCAGGACATTGTAATGACCCTGCAGAAGTGCAGTGCCTTGAATTTCAGCTTTTCCGTTCTCTAATGGAAAGAGAAGTTTGAAAAAAGTGTATGTTAGACAGGTGTATTTTATTTTACAATTGGCTTGTAAGTTTATATCTTTATTTCCTGTTTTAAGTTACAGAGATATGAATGGTATGCAAATTGGAAGCTAAGTCTCACCTTTAGTTTTCTGTTGTAAATGCTTTTTTTAAGAAAAAAAATTGAGTTGGTTATCTTGAATATTGAAGAGTTGCAAGCTCTGCTCAACACTCAGAAAAATGAGGTTTCTCTGGGTTTAGCCAATGACTTATAGAAGACAGATGGAAACAAATTCTTAACTGAAACATTCTGGGTGCTTTGTGTGAGATGCCTAATGACCATGAGTCTTTAAGGAGGGCATTTTTAGGAGTGACTGGTCACTCAGTAAGGCTACAAGGATCCTGCTAGAAAACGCTAAGTGAGCAAACATGCTCTTCATAACCTAAAGGCTGAGTGAGGAGCCACCCTGGGCTGAGCTTCAAGTGTTGTGAGTGTGGGTATGTGCTGGGCAGCTGCTGTCCCTGCCTCTGGGTCCTGCCAGCCCTTCTTCTGAGCTCTTCTTTCTGACTTTTCTTTCTTTTCAACAATTTTCTCTGAGGCCCATGAACCACTACCACCACCCTCACCACCTTACTTGCTCATAAGCAGTATTCCCTTGGTCTCTGGCCTACAGGCTGCCCTGTGGGCAATCCTCCACACTGACGTACTGAGGGCCAGACTGCCCTTCACATGGAGACTTCAATGGCACTCATCCCAGACAGGCATAAAAATAGCCCACGGTGAAGCCTGAAGGCCCAGCCACCTCCCCTGCAAAGATGTTTTTTACTCCTGCTGGAAGGCAGACCACCTCCTGATGTCAAGATATGAATTGTATAGTTCTACTGTATTTTGGAACATTACTAGAACTGGCTAAATTATTTTGGTTTAAATATATTATTCCATCAATTCAATTAGAATTGAATTTCTAGGTGATTATGCAGAATCTTCTGCCTAGGCACAATGCTGTCATAAGAGATTTCTGTTCTCTGTACCGTGCACCTCAGTCATTTGGTTCTGGAATCACATCTCTGTTTCATGAGTAAAAGGGACAGCTGCTCTCACCATTTCTCCTCCAGCTTGCACTGGATCTAAGGTTTGGAGTCTCTTGCCTGTTAGTCCTTTCCTTGTACATGGACAGTCAGTGGCATGAAATCCCCAGGAGACTGTATATATTAAGGAGAAAAATAAACACTTTTGCTTGGAAACAGTGTGGAAAAAAATCTTTTTCTTCCTCTGTCCACATAAGAGCCAGCTGGCTGGGCCTTTCAGGGAGGACAGGAACAGTGAGTAATGCTGTGTGCTCACCTTCTTTCTGGGGCCAGGCCAGCCACTCCAGCTTTGTGGCCACAGACATGCTGCCCCCACCACCACCTCCAGGGGCAAGGAGCTAAGGAGGGGGATGGGGTGAGGCCAAGTGATGACAGAGGAGCCCTGCTGACATGGCAGCCTGCCAGAGCCAGTTACACCCATCAGAGCCACCCAGGGCCTGCCTTTGCTGGTGGGAAGGACATAGTCTGATAGCACTCTGTGCCCATGCACTGAGCTCATGGGCCATGACTGGCTCAGGGAGGTCCAATCCTGCTGCCTCCAGCATGCATCACAGCCCTGAGCCTGACTTCAAGATACCTAGGAGCCTCTGAAAGTATATTACATTTGACTCTCTGCCTTAGAGGGAAGGAATTGAGCTCTGCCTTAAAGGGAAGGAGTTAGGATCCAGTTGAAAGACATCTATCATCCCTGGGCCCACGCTGCTATCTCCAAAGAAAACCCTGGTAGTAATTCTCATGACAGATTGTACAGAAGCAGGTGTGCTTCTCCTTTCAGAACCTTCTTCTGGACCAGGGTCAGTCTGAGCACTAGTAAAGGATCTATCCACAGGTCACATGAAAGGCTGGCTTTGCTGATAGGTACAGGTCATGGGGAAGATGCTGATGTTGAGAGGACTCTCCGTTGCAGCTCAGTGTGCATTACTGAGTATGCCATTGGTCCATGGTCCTCCAGGAGGCAGTCCCCCAGCTGGCTGCTGTCATGCCTCTTCATGCACAGTGAGGTCCTGAGAAGCCCTTACAGCCATGCTGGAACCGAGAGACCATGTTTCCTTCCTCTCTATGGCTTGGAAGCTGTGGATCCTCATTCCTCATTCCCTTGGAGACAGGCAGTGTAGGAGGTTGTGCACCTCTGTTCTCATTGAAGGGCCCTTCCCAGAGCCCCAGCACAGCTGTGATGGTGCACCAGGTACATGGTTCAGCATTGATCCTGGACAGAGAAAGACTGCTGGGGCTTCCCCACTCAATGTGCCAGTGCATGTCCCAGGACACTGCCTGTTGTGCAGGAACTAAGTATGGCTTCTGGAAAGCTTTCCATGCAGTTTGTTGAAGCAGAGATGACTAAGGTGGCAGAACCTGATAAACAGGGCTTTCTTTACACTGTGACTTAACTATTTGGACCCACAGGAGCCAGGCACTCTGAGGTGCAGTCACTTGTTATGGCTGCTGCACTTCCATGTGAGCAACCCCCATGGAGCATAGGCTGGCCTGGGCCCCCTCTGCCCTGGGAGCTGACTGGCCCCCTGGATACAGCACTACACCTGGATAGTACTGAGCTATGGTGGTTTTGTTTTCTAGATTCTGAGAGTGAGAAGCCAGACTGAGCCCAGGCAGGCTGACCTGACCCAGACGCCAGGCCCGTGTCATCTAGAGCGAAGAGGGAACGATGGGAAGTGACTGGGCCTCCAGGTGTGGCCCTTGCTCCTTGTTCAGCTCACACTGGTTTTGTAATCACTTTCTACACATTTTTTTATTATTATTATTATTCACAATTGGAGACACAAATGTAATGCAAGAATAAAAATATTTTGGGGGAAAAAAAGATTTTGTTTTTTAAAACCTTCTCCTTTCCAATGACCCTCAACAGGCAGATAGCTAGAGATGAGTTGAGTAAAGGGAACCTCCCCCAGGGTCTAGACAGCAGATGGGGCACCTTTCTGCTGATGGAACTTCCAAGGTGCCAGTGATGTTCACTGTCCTTTTACACAGCACTTTATCATTTATCTGTTAACTCAGGCCCCTCAAGAGAGCAGTTGGAACAAAGGTCCAATGTGTAAAAAGGCTCTGGAGCCAGGTGACTACCTAGGCAAAGCTATAGCTGTGTGTGGTTAGACTTGGGCTTCAATTTCCAGAGCCAGCACTTTTCCCATTGTTCCAGGATAGTTTGGAAACTTCAGACCCTGGTTACAGAGCAGTTGTGCTCTCTGCTTGTACAGATACAAGGTCTATCCCATGACCTCTGCCATTGAGCATACAGCTTCATCCTGGAGTTCCCGTGGGCTTCTCTACTCAATGTCTTGAGCATACATAACTCACCCCCCACCTGTAGTCCAAGGGTTTGCAGCCATGGAGGTCTTGCTTCTGCTTCGCCCAAAGAGAATGACCCTTCCTCCCAGAAACACAGCAAAGAGACCAGTTGTTCCTTAAAGGGCTGAGTCCCTGTGGTGGGAGGTATCCAAAGCATAGTGTGAAAAATGAGAAATCCTCATATGGCCTTGCCAGGGAAGTGGCAGTGGTGGGTCTCCACAGCCTTGAGAAGGGGCCTTACCTAGGGTCCTGAGGTCTGGAGTAGAATTCAGGGGCTCCCATGCACTACAGTGGGGAAAAATACAGTTTTATTTTCATGAGTCTCTAACTAAAATGTTGCATTTCCTCAAATGAGAAACAAGGATAACAAACTACAGTATCATTAGCAGCACCGGGGACTTCAGCACCCATGGACAACAGGCAGTGCAGATCACATTGCAGTTGTAGCCATCCCAAATTGTTAACTTATGTGGTCACAATAGAATGTCTGCCCTCAAGAGTTAATTCCTGCCCAATTGGCTTCTCATTCACACTATGCATCTGAATGAGTGCATGTCAACCCAGCTTCCCCAAGTTGGACAGGCACAAAGTGGGGGTAGGGGACAGGCAGAGCCGCCACAGAAGATGCTCTTAATCTCCCCATCTTCCACCAGCTTTCTTCCTGTGCTGCCACTGTGGCAAGGAGATGTGCCCAGGTAAGCAGCAGACCTTGGTCCAAGGCTTGAGCGAACACCAGTGTCTGGTCAGAAGTTAGTAACCTTACTCATTTTCATTGTTTGCAAAGTTTGTCTTTTCAAACAACACAAATATTTAAAGCAGTCTTTCTCTTAAAACAATAGTGCAGGTGGTACACAAGCTAATAGTAAACACTGTGAAGGGAGAAGGCTGAAATTTAGAAACTCAGCAGCAGCTCATGGGTGGTCATAATAGTCCTTAGCAGTGAGGCCTTGGAGGGCAAAAGATTTTCCCAGAATGGCTCAGTGAGAGCATACAAAAGCCTGACCAGAGGGTTGGTTCTGGTGGGGGAGAGGAGAGACGGGTGGAACAACTGTCCACTCTACAGTGTCACTGGGAGACCACTAAGCTCATGCTCATTATAGGACCCAGTGGTCATGCCCCTCCCCTCCCTGGACCACAAGGCAGAAAAGCAAAGGCCCAGATAACAGAGCACATCTCCACAACCACCACTCCATGCAACCCCCAGGAAGGGGTGAGTGCTATTGCAGCAAGAAAGGCCCTCTGAAAGCAGTGCTCAGTGTTATGTGACCAACATGAGCAGGGGGCTGGTGAATGACAAGCTGCTGTGCTGGGGCACACTCTGACAAATGGTCTTCTGGTCTTCAGTGACCCTAATGCTCAGAAATGTTCAGTAGTTCTCCAGTGCCTACAGGATACACCACAAATCCCATGTCTTGAATTCAAGGTTCTCTGTGATCTGTCGGCTGGGGACTTCACTTCTGGAATGTGACATAACAGCCCCACTTTGGTACCTTACTCCTGTTCATCCCTCCTAAGAAGCCTCTTCTCTGTTGCAAAAAGTCCTCATCTTTCTGTCCTGCCTTGGACATTGCCATCGTATTGATATCTTCCCTTTTCAAGTTTTCACACATCTGTGGGCTCTCACGTGACTCCAGATGTTTTACTCTCATGGCACGCTCACAGGTGCATCATAAAGAGGGAGAGGAGAGAGAGGGCAAACAAATTTCTGATAGAAAATACAGGAAAAGGAATACCACTTCTCCCTTTACTGGGTCCCACATTAGCTATTGGGAAGACAAAGCTCATACAGCCCTTCCCTAGTCCTAAAGTATAAGAATCCTGGACTATGGAAGGACACTGTCCAATGGGTGAATATACTAGGCTAGCTGCACATGGACTATTCAGCCTAACAGGTGCTGAGAACTGGAAGGGTCTTGGCTTAGAAATCAAACACAGGGACTGCTGTGCTGACAGGACAGGATGGATGAAGTGTGGGATAGAGAATTGGAAGGACCAAGCCAAGTCAAGGCAGGTGCAATTTTCTGATTCCTCCCTTTCCCTCACACCCCACTTACAGACTGTAAGCCAGGCCTTTCATCTCCACTTCCCAGACAAAGCAAAAACCCATTCATTTCTCTCCTGCTCCATCATCATCTCAGTCGTGCTGCAGGAACACTTCTCTCTAACCTTGGCCTCTGCCCTGCTTGGGCCAGTGTTACAAAGCTCTTTTAGTTTTGCCAATAGGTGCCCAGAGAGACACCCTACTCTGCCAGCAAGCCTTCTGCCTGAAGACACTCTGCTTTCTTCCTCCATGGTCCAGGAAGCCTGCCACTCAGTCTCATGCTGGTCCCTTTGTTCTGCCGCCTCTGCTGCTGCCATCTCTTTGCTGTCTTTCTGCTGTCACTCTACCATCTCTCTCTGTCATCTCTCAATTCCATCTCAGTGCAGGGATCTTGAATCCAAGAACACTCTCCCCTTCCAGCTCTTCTCTCTCGATGGAAGTGAGATCCCTCTTTTCTGCCTCTGGATGGCTCATTTTAAGTCTAACAGAATGGCAAAACTGACCAATCCCCACATTAGGGTTCCATACACCTTATTTGCACAGTCTACCCCCCACAAGGGTACCATGTACCTTATTTACATTATTAATAAGCTATCCAATACCTTGGTGCCCCACAAAGGACCTCACATTTACATATTTCCACCCAGTTGTCTGGTGGGAGTAATAAAGACCATGGCTGGAAGGACCATATTAAGTAATTCACCACACCACAAGCCACCCCCTGCCTCTTCTAGCTCTTGGCCCTTTAATACTTGAAAGATTAACTTCCACCTCCCAATCATTGTAACTATAAGTCCAACCAAGAAAGCATGTAAGCCAGCCACTTCATGCCTTTATCTCCCCACATTTTAGATAGCCAATTTCTAACTAGCCTCTCCCTATCAAACCAGTACTCTGAGAAAACAAGTGTGTTCCTTGATCTGAAGAATCTTCTGTTCTGGTTGGAACTTTGAGCATTTGCATCCATAAGCAAAATCAAGTCCAAAGCAAGCCATCAAATTGCAGAAATGTATACCAGCTCACAGTGTCAAACGTCTTTCTCTCCATTTGATCAGGTTCTAGTCAGCTCAATTCTACCAAACTTAGCTTGGTCAGTAGGTACTAACTGCAAGCTTGGGATTTCACACACCTCCCTGTACTTCAGACCAACTGGCCACTCCTCTCTCTCTTTCATCCATAGCCCCCATGAGCTAGGTCAATGCCCATGGGCACAGGAGTACACACAACTCTCTGCACTTCAGACCAGCCAGGCCTTCCTCTCTTATTCCTACCTTCCATGAGCTAGTTCAACAGGTGCCAAAGTCAGCCTGTTTCTTCATTGCTGCACCTCCCTCACTTCCACTCAAGTGGCCCCCAATGATTACAACAAGCAAGGACACCAAGCTGTCTCCTCATTGGCTCCCTTTAACTTCCAGTCCTGGAAGGAGTGCTTCTGGTGGGCATCTTAATTTTTCCTGCCTACGTGCAGGCACCCAAAGACAAACATTGAAATTCAAAAAGCCAGTTATTGTTTCCCTCCGCAGGTCTTCCATCAAATGTAAGCTCTGGTAGCGTAGTGCCTAAAGCATCTGACTGCTAACCAGAAGGCTGGCGGTTCAAACCCACCAGCCACTTCTCAGAGGGAAGGTTGGGCAATCTACTTCCATAGTGATACTGCCTTGGAAACCCAAGGAGGGGTCACTATGAGTCAAGTCTGACTCTATGGCACATAACAACAACAACTCAGCAGTTCTATCATTCAACTAAGAGAAATAGGCAATATCCATTGTATATCCAGATGAAAAAACATTCCAGTTTCATCTTCTCTCAATACCTTGACTGTCTTCTCATTCTTATGCACATGGTCTTGTGGCTCTGGATGAATGGAATCAGAAAACACTGGTCCCCTATCAATCATCTCACTTAATCAGTCTGGCTTATTCCTTTCAGCCCTACAGGTAACAAAATCCAAAGTTACTATCTAAGAATCAAAAGTTTCACTTCTCATGCCCATTCATTCTATCTTTTACAAAGCCCTATGTGTCCATGAGTCTGGAGTGTATCCCACTTCTTGGCACCAACTGCCAAAAACCTGTGAGGGTGGCATCTGACCTGCTCTAACTTCACAAGGGAAAAGGAGTATCCAGAACATCAATAGCCCAAGTCTGATTTCTATGAGGTGGAGGTTAGATAAGTTGTCACCCTCCAAAGTTTTTACCAATTTTAACACCAACTATTCCTCCCAGGGCACTCTCTACTTCTCTACTAGGTTTGATA